ACTTGAGGGGGAGTGTTAGAATACTTATTTTTGTTCTCTTGTTGATATTTACGTAAGTTGAGGGTACAATAATCATATTGCTATGTTAGGGTTTGTATATATATTTTGCTGACATAGAGTTAAGAAAAGATGATTATTCAACATATATAAAATTTCTCTCTTCTTCATCTTCCTAAATCCCAACCTTAAATTCCTTCATTTTTACATTCTAACTATTACAACAAAAGTGGGTCAAGGCCCAATACAAGAAAGCCCATGACTATACAAAAGAAAGTAAAACAAAACGAACCTTAAGCTCCAAGATCCTCCCAAGCTCTCATCTTGGCGGAGGTACGCCATCAACACCTAAAAGTTGTTTCCACATAAGGTGAGCATAAAGCCCAGTAAAGATAACTTAATGACATGTATGACAGTTAACAATGTCACACGGTGGATGCATATGAAAAGCTATGCCCAGAAATATGAGGTTTTATCCTTTTTGAAACAATGCCACGCAAGAGTTCCAAAACCACATCCCAAACACTTCCTTTGAAACAAAAAAACAGGACAATAAATACAATGCCGTAAATTCTCAAGGCTAGTGTCTGCAAATAGGTTCTCAAGCACTACCAAAAGCCACTTTACAGGCTCCTAACTGAAAGGAAGGCACTTAAAGGCGCAGGTAATTAACCACAACCACACCCCCTATATAGATTTACCATCTTATTTACCCCTTTCTCAAAACGAAATCATTTCCAAAACATTACGTATGTAGTTCACAATTTCATGATATGATTCCATGCGATACATGATTTATAAACAGTTTAATCGCCTAAACCACATGCAATTTCTAACACACGGCAGCCACCTTTAAAAGAGATGAATAAGCTAAAAAAATGGTTGAAATTGTGTTTCATTGATCTAACAATTTTGAAATAATAAAATGGTGAGGAAGCTTAAATGATTCTTGAAAAATAATGATTATAGTACTTACTTTTTCATAATATACTTGACAAATATATATATATATATATAGAAAATTAAAATTACATTTTGTTGACTGCACAAGAGTACACTGGCAAGGGGCCTTCATTTTGTTCTTTTATTTTAATTGGATGTTCATGGTGCAAGGATGGGAAGTCGCGGCCAATGAAAAGTCCCTTCAATACCCACCGGCACTGGACCATTTCTATACGCTATACAACCAATTTAAGCAACATGCGAACAATACTAAATTAATGAGGTCAGAACATAGAATTATCTATTATACTTTATTTTCACTTGTTTAGTGATTTATTATTAATATAATTATAATTTTTTTTACAGGAAACATGTTATTTTTCTTTATTGGGTTCCCTTGTTTTTCAACTGAAAAGATAGGGGTAAAGTCGTTCAATCTCGTAGAAAAATTCTCAAAGCAAAACTTTCAATATTTTGAAGCCACGTTAATATATAATGGAGGGAGGGAAGTATAGCAAAAGAAAGTAGGACATGGAGGGAGGGAAGTATAGCAAAAGAAAGTAGGACAAAATAGGAGAAGGAAGCTTGAATGGGAAAAAGTATATTCCATGCCTAAAATGCTAGGCTGAGATGATAAGGTAAAATCCCTAGATAAAAAAGATAATGTTAAACTTCTTTTTGTGCACATGGGGATGTCAGAGCTATGGTGAATCGGAAGACATTTATTTTATTAATATAATTATAATTTTTTTTTACAGGAAACATGTTATTTTTCTTTATTGGGTTCCCTTATTTTTCAACTGAAAAGATAGGGGTAAAGTCGTTCAATCTCGTAGAAAAATTCTCAAAGCAAAACTTTCAATATTTTGAAGCCACGTTAATATATAATGGAGGGAGGGAAGTATAGCAAAAGAAAGTAGGACAAAAGAGGAGAAGGAAGCTTGAATGGGAAAAAGTATATTCCATGTAGGCTGAGATGATAAGGTAAAATCCCTAGATAAAAAAGATCATGTTAGACTTCTTTTTGTGCACAAGGGGATGTCAGAGCTATGGTGAATCGGAAGGCATTTATTGGATTTGTAGAAATGCCTTGCACCATTACTGTCAATATGTAATGCCATAGTATTTTATATTTTTGTTTTTAGTTATATATTATTTTTTATTATTTATGTAGCATGTTAAATTCATCTAATAGGTTTTTTGGAATAATTCTTTTAATAGGTTGAACCAAGTGAAAAGGAGGCCGATCAAGTAGCTATGGAAGATTTTTTGCGTTTATTCTCGGAAGCTATACCATGTATATTTGACAGGCTAATAAAAGTCTTTCATTTCACGAATCTAATTTTCGTGAATGTTACTAATGTTGTATTCACAGAAAAATTGGATTCATGGGATGAAATACTTTTATTATCCTGTCAAATATGCAGGGTATAGTTTCCGGAAATAACGCAGAAAATCCTCCATAGCTACTTGATCTGTCTCCTTTTCACCTAATTCAACCTATTAAAAGAATTATTTCAAAAAACCTATTAAAAGAATTTAACATGCTACATAAATAATAAAAAATAATATATAAATAAAAACAAAAATATAAATTACTATAGCATTACATATTGACCGTAATGGTGCAAGGCATTTCTACAAATCTGATAAATGCCTTCCGATTCACCATAGTTCTAACATCCCCATGTGCACAAAAAGAAGTCTAACACGATTTTTTTTTTTATCTAAGACTTTTAACTTATCATCTCAACCTAACATTTTAGGTATGGAATATACTTTTTCCTAATCAGGCTTGCTTCTCCTCTTTTGCCCTACTTTCTTTTGCTATACTTTTCTCCTCTTTTGCCCTACTTTCTTTTGCTATACTTCCCTCCTTCTATCGTATATTAACGTGGTTTCAAAATATTGAATGTTTTGCTTTGAGAATTTTTCTACGAGATTAAACCACTTTACCCTATCTTTCCAATTGAAAAACAAGGGAACCTAATAAAAAAAAACATGTTTCCTGTAAAAAAAATTATAATTATATTAATAAAAAATAATAAATCACTAAACAAATAAAAATAAAATGTAATAGCTAATATTATATTCTGACCTCATTAATTTAACATTGTTCGCATATTGCTTAAATTGGTTGTATAGTGTATAGAAATGGTCCAGTGTCGGTGGGTATTGAAGGGTCGCGCCTTCCCATCCTTACACCATGAACATCCAATTAAAATAAAAAAACAAAATGAAGGCCCCTTGCTAATGTACTCTTATGCAGTCAACAAAATGTAATTTTAATTTCCTATATATATATTTGTCAAGTATATTATGAAAAAGTAAGTACTATAATCATTATTTTTCAAGAATCATTTAAGCTTCCTCACCATTTTATTATTTCAAAACTGTTAGATCAATGAAACACAATTTCAACCATTTTTTTACCTCATTCATCTCTTTTAAATGTGGTGGCCGCACTACTACAAAATCATAAATATATCACTTTTTTTGTGTGATGCGTAATCACACTTTTTAAGTTTTGTCAAAGTGTGATATTTGGGAGTGTGATTAAAAAATGATCATTTTTAATCACATGGTCATTTTTAATCACACGTTTTAAGTGTGATTAATAACATTTAGATCACATCTTTTAAGTGTGATTAATAATAACTAATAAAACCTGTGATAATAAACGTTTAGATCACATCTTTTAAGTGTGATTAATAACTAATAAAACCTGTGATAATAAACATTTAGATCACAGATTTTAAGTGTGATTAATATCTAATAAAACTTATGATTAATAATAAGATAAGATCACACGTTATATGCATTTCTGAGCACAATTAATGCATATGATAAAAAAAAGGGTTCAACATATTTGAAGAATAATCAATATTATTTTTGTACGCGCATTTAAAGAATGTAATACACACTATATACTATACTTTGAATCACAACCACATATTGAATGGAATAACGTCACATATTTCATAAATGAAAGTTAAATATGTTCAAAAGTATATACAAAGGAATTAAATAAAAAAAATTTAACTGTGCTTACATAAGTTAAAAAATGAAAAAACTTGAAAAACTATGTTTTGAATTCTGACCAAATTTTGCATCTCTCTAAGAAATTTCTAACTTGAAAAATGAAAACACAAATTAATTTAGAAACCGCTAGAAAGCATATGAATAAACTAACTATTTGTAAAGATTATTCTAGTCTTACAAAAGATAAAATCGGATCTTTTCTCATCACACTGACTCTTTATCAAAAATAATTCCAGCCTTCAAGTAACTTTCTTTGATTTACCCAAAAAAAAATAATAATAAAAATAAAATAATAATAAGAGACAAAAAAAAAAGTTAAAATAACAATATAAAGAAAGCGTAGTTTCAACTCTAAGGTTATCAAAAAAACCAACTGAACTGGCAGCCAGGGAAGTCACCAACAATACTATAGTAATCCAAAGACTACAAACAGCAATAGGCTAATGACAAGTGCATAGATGCCATATACCAACCAATAGCATCAGTCAGTAGATTATGTAGCTGAAGTGCATATACAGCATAATATTTGAACTCAGACATAAGTCAAAAGAATAGCAAAGACGAAAAAAATTTATTGATACTAAGCATTTATATATGTGATCTAGTAAATGCACCCTTTCCGGCTTGCACTAAAACACAAGTAACATTTCAAAACAAAAAAATGACAAGATAAAAAACTAAAAATTGTCAAGAATTTCCTAATGTAAATCACAATAAATTTCCCTGAAATACAAATATTTACACACAAAAAAAAAAGTGAAAGAAATGCAAGGTTACCTCCAAGGGATCTGAGGCTATAGGAATTTCATTGGGAACCTCTTCCACATCATTGGATGCAACAATACTAGGGTAAGGATGGGGAGTCTGGTCATGGTTCCTCCTCTCATTAGCGCCAAAAACATCACTATTATTACTATCTCGGAAAAGTTGTGTAGTTGTTTCCCGAGCAAATGCGGTCACAAGAGAGAATTTCTCCAATAGTTGAATTGAAATATCTTGAGCAGGATCCTGAAACTTTTGCCTCAGCCTACCATTGTGCTGAATAAGACTGGCACTTCCATCAAAAGTATCTACTTCAGTCCTCTCTTGATTTTCATATGAAGGGGGCCCACCATCTGAGATAGGTGAAGATGGCCCAGTTGCAACAGCAACAGCCCTAGGCAACTCCAAAGAGGACAAAGTTCTCTGTCCAAGAAAATGAAACAAAACAAAACTACATAGTTCAAACAGTCAAGAGAAGGATTTAAATATCAGGATAAATGAATTTATTACTAACGCTCAAGGCAATGAAAAAACATCAGACAACAGTTCAAACAGAGAAACATGCAGTATACAACTTCACCCGATCTCCTACTAGAATAAACGACAAAAAGAAAAGACTGTTTTTGTAACTTTAACAGAAGCAAGAAATGCTGAAAGCAAGACAACTCAATATTTGCATGTAAACAGGAAAAATGAACTTCAATCCACAAAGAAAAAAGGCACTATTTGGTCTAGATAAGCTGACCATGTGACAGGAATGACCCTTTGGTAATTATAATATATTTACAGATTTGGGTTAGTCAAAATAAATTTTAGTTTTCAATAAGTGATCCCTAGTTCATCCACAGCCCCAATCCCATAGAGTGACCCTGAAAAATGTTCTAAAACCCAAACCGTTGGTTAAACCAAAAAAAGGACCTCATCAAGGGTCCCTGGTTCCACACCGTCGGGTTCCACCAGAATTGAACCGTGCATCATAATTACCCTACAAATATATTAAAAATTACTTAAATAATAATATAAGTATAAAGATACATTCTTTTTTTTTTCTTTTATATTGATATTTTGTTTTTTAAAAAGTTAACTATACTTGTGTTTGAAAGAAAATGCAATGGATATAATAAATAATATATGTTAACCATGGTGGTTTAGTGGTAAAGTGAACAAGTAATCATAAATGAGGTGCTGTGTTCGAGACCCATAACAATGATTTTTGCAATGCCTGAACCAAGTACATTGGAAACTCTCAGGTTCGGTCGGTTTACTTAAACCGACACCAATTCATGCGGTTAGCCAATTTAACTATAGGTTTTGCCGGTTGAATAAAAAGAAGCCAGTTTTCAAATTAAAACGGGTTAGGGTTTATCCAGATCATAACCTAGACCGGTCAACAGGTCAAACGATCGACCCAGCCAATCCAGTTCGGTTTTAAAAGAATTTGCCTTGTAATATACCCTTCCTTATACTTGGTCTAGAATCGATTATGACAGCACCCAACTCCAATATAACCTCAACTTGGACACATTGAAGAATCCGGATGATGGGTCCTTGGTTATGCTACAGATTGTACAATAATTGATTTGTCATCAGCTTATCATGTCAATTGCATAAAGAAGCAAAAGACAAGAAAAATGATTTAGGCAATTCAGTTCACAACAAGAGTTCCATATTGTGTAGTAAAATGATTCACACTCCCTTTTTGTCTTTTAGCCTCTCACAAGGATAGTGTGAGGCAGAACAAGTATATTAAAGATTATTTATCCTTAAAAATTGCTGAACAAAGCAAGGGACATTGCCCACACATAGGATAGATCTTTCTTTACCATAATAAATTCAAGTTTAAATCACAAACAAACTTCTTAATTTCAGGACAATTAACAAACCAGTGTGAACACTCAAAGAATTTGAAATCTCATAACTCAAAAATCAACATACAGATAAAAGAAATGCCACCCAAAGCTTTACCAGTTACTTTGGATGTGTTTCCATTATCAAAATTTTGTGAACTGAAATTAAAATGTCTCCATCTAAAATTTCACAGCTAAATTTAGCTAAGTTTGGGCAGTTGTATTAACCTCATGCTCTTATTTTTTCTTGATGGTTTCTCATTTATTTAAAACTAAAAACAATGTGATGGCTGCCTTTGCAAAGAGAGCAAAAGTAAAGACCTTTCACCCCTAAATATCAAGCTCCTAACCAAATAAGCTTGAGCTCAACGCTTTAGCCCTGCCCCCATTCTCCTGCCTCTATTGCCGAGAATTCAAATCGATGATTTTGAGAAGTCTTAAAAGTAAAGGAATATATTCATATTAGTACAGGAATAGCATGTTGTTTGGACGGGACATTTTCCTTGAACCCATGGTTGTAGTTTAAATCAAAGATTCCCCATTGTGCTAATATCCAATCTAAACAGAAAATCTTATTTTAAAAAGCACCCAAACCTTATACTCATTCTTCTTGTTGTTCTTCCAAAAATTTTCATCCTCTTATTTTATATTCAAACCTTATTCTCATTCTTCTTAGAGTTTTAAGGAAGCTCTACTGAATTTAATTTAACACATCATCAATTTGAAAAACTTGCCAGTTCAAAATCAAAACTCTAAGAAATAACGAGTACCCACTTGACAACTCTTGTGAATTTCAACAAAAAAGAATTGACTGACTCACCTGAGAGACATCATCGGCAATGTTGAGGCCTTCAATGTCAGTTTGGGGCTTCACAAACACAGCTTTGCAGACTATCGAAGAAGAGACCTTCAATGTCAGTTTGGGGCTTCACAGACACAATTAACTAATGAACATTAAAGAACAAAAAATCTTCAGTAGAATTTGAAATCAACAGGAAGGAAAAAAATTAAACCTCGATTTGAGATAAGAGAGGCGTTTATTGATTCAATCTTTTGGTTTCTGAGGGGAAAAAATGGAAAATATAAACAAAACAAAGAAATCTGAATCTTGAATTCATTGAGAGGAAAGTGAAGAAAAGAAAAAAATTGAAAAACAGAGGCAGAGAATGAGAGGAGAGTGGGGTGTACCACAAGGTTGAACCTGGAGCCGGACTGAACGGCAAATCTGGTGCAGAGTTCTGACCAGAGAAGATTGAGGGTTCGATTGAACAAAAATGGAGAGAAAAATTATGGCAAAGATGAACTGTCCATCTTCGGATTTCGTTTCCAACGCATTAATGTGCCTTGCCGCCTGATCTTTCTCATCACAATCAACCCGTTCGAGATCACCGTTCTGACGAGTCCGGCTGTAGTCCTTTGTAGACAAAGGTTCTGAAACAGTTGAGGGGAGTGCAGGGTCTGGATTCAAACATATGGCTTGTGGAGGGATTGGAGAAAATCGAAGGTAGGGTTAGGGTTTTGGAACCGACGAGGAGAGTGGAGACGACCGGTGAAGATCGGTGAAGAGAATAGGAGAAGAGAGAGAGGGCAGCAAGAGAGGAGGAGGTGGTGGCGACGGTGGCAGAAATTTGTATGCCCTTAAAACGTAGACTTTAGAAATAAAAATTAAATTTTAAAAAATAAGAAAAGTATATGCCCTTAGACGAAGACCTTAGGAATAAAATTAAAATTAGTATTGAACTAATACAAGAATTAGAAGATCAAAAATTTAGATATCAGTTTCTTTTAACATTAGCTTTTAACAGATCTCTAGAAAATTATAGTTTAAAAAATCAGTTTCTTTTATCATTAGCTTCTGACAGATCTCTAGAAAATTACAGTTTAAAAATTTCTCAAATAAATAGACAGCTAACTGAAAAACAAGAGGCCTTAAAAATAGCTATACAACAGCTTGAAGATCTATAGCTGTAGAATTAGTCAGATAATTCTTAGGCCAATTTCAAAATAGTGGTAAACCACTAACTCCACCCCACAAAATTTTTTTAATCACACTTTCAATAAAAATGATATATTTTATATTCTTCTTATGTGATCTTTAAACACATGTTAATTAGAAGGTATGATTAAAAATATATATATAATCACACTAATTGAAAAGTGATATAAAAAATAAATATTATCACACTTAATCAAATTACGTATGATTAAAATATCAATCTAATTTTTTTTATCACACTTCGAATAAAAATGAGACATTTTCATTTGACAAAGTATGATCTTTAACTGTTTTTGTAATAGTGAAATTAAATTAAGCAAATTATAATCATAGTCTTTATATTTTTATACTTGTGTCATTTTAGTTATTATAATCTCAATCGACTCAATTTTAATTTAATTTATGATTTTATTTTAATTTGGTCAAATTAATTTTAATTTAACCGTTAACTTTTTTATGATAAATATGCACATAAACGTCATGAGTTATGCTTTTAAAAATAAAATTATAATTTTACTCAATGACTATTTTTGGTCAAAAGTATAATCAATTAAACCAAAAAAATCCAAAATTAATAATCAAAATCAAGTTAATTGAAAGTGCAGCAAAATACAATAAGTACCTATATAATTTACTAACTAAAATTTAGAATAATGTTTTTTAGGCCAAAAGTTGAATATATTTTTCAAATTTAATGACGTGACAATCTATTAAAATTATCTAGGACAACTCTATCTCTCATATCTTTTCTATTCATCTATCAATTATCTCTTTTATACATCGGTCTTAAAAATGAATCTAAAAAATGAACTTCTATATATCATTTTTTTTAAATTTAAGATGATGTCAGGTCATAGCTACCACGGATATGGTTTAAATCAAACACTTCAAATTTTTTTAAGCTATGTAATCACTGTTTATTACAGTGCATATCTATCTATCTATCTATACAAGTCTTAAAGCCTCGTTTGGGAACAGGCTAATTTAGTAACTTTTTGGCTATTTGGCTAAAATATGAGCTAAAAAAAACTAGTATGTTTTAGGATGACTTTTTGGCTTTTTTACGCAAAGATGTGCAAAAAGTAGAGAGAAAAGAGAATCTTTGACTTTTTGGTATAGGTTGTTGACTTTTTGACTAATTTAGTAATTTTTTGACTAAAAGTGAGTGTTCCCAAACGAGGCCTTGATTCTCCTAAGCCATACAGAATGCACTATCATATGAAACATACCAAACCTCTCAGCTGGCTGGTTCCACACAAAATGCCTCCTCACAACTCTCACACCTTCTTTCAACCTCATATACTTTTCTTCCAAAATACCCATCAAAACCTCCTTCAACTGCGGAATTTTCTCAGTCTCAACCTGCACGGAAAACCCCTCCCATCGCAACACATCGCTAAAAGGCAACACATAGTGATCTAACAAGATCACAGGGGCACATTCAACCTAAATGGCCTCCACAATTCTAGGGCTAGCCACTTCATGACCACTCAGACATAGACAGTAATTGGATTGAAGCATGAAAGAGTAGTAATCTATGCTTTTGGGGAGGTACTCGTAGATTGGGAGGTCAGTGTCGCGGTTTTCCAGTGGTTGAGGAAAATGGATGGGGCCGTGGAGGCCACCTGCGAAGAAGGCAAGGTAGGGCCAGGAAGTGTTTGGTGACCGAGGGGAGAGAAGTTTAGGGGAGATGTCGCCTGTGTAGAGATGGCTTTCAGGCGAGGTAGGGCCGGGAAGTATTTTCACACCCCTCAAATAAATGATTTACTATTTACAAAAATATTAAACTGCATGGTTAAAAATATTGACGACATATATAAATCAAGGGTTAAAATAGACATAATTCTCAAAGTATACATTCTATGTCATTTTAATTTTTAATATTTTAAATTGGGCCTATTTGGTAACGTTTACGTTTTCAGTTTATATTTATAAAAATTTTATAAACTGGTTTTTATTTATTTTTTGTTTATTTTTAGAAAAACATAAACTACAAACGCGTTTGATTTAGACAAAATGTTTTTAAAAAATTAAAAATATAAAAAATAGTGAGAAATGGCAAGTGGTGGCAGGTGATGGGTGGAGACGAGTGGTGGCAGCAGAAGATGGTGGTGGAAAATGATGGCAGGTGGTAGTGGCAGAAGACGCTGGCAAAAAATGGTGGCAGGTGGTGGGTGATGGTGGCAGAAGACGGTGGTGGAAAGTGGTGGCAAGTGGCGGGTGGTGGCAGCGGAAGACGGTGGTGGAAAGTGGTGATGGTGGGTGGCGGGTAGGTGGTGGTGGTTGGGGGTTCCGGTGGCGGGTGGTGGGTGGTAACGAGTAGGTGGTGGTGGTGGCGGGTGGTGGTGGCAGGTGGGTGCAAGATAGACGGATGGTGGTGGGTGGTGATGGGTGGGTTGGTGTGGCGGGTGGTGATGGTGGGTGGGTGGGAGTGGTGACGGTGGCGAGTGGCATGATGAGTAGACCATTGGGTGGGGTGGTGAGAGGGTAGTGGTGGCAGGTGGGTGGTGAGATGACATAGTGTGGTGGTGATGACTGGTGGGTGACGTGGCAGGTGGAGGTGTGGTTCAGCGAGAGTGAGTGGTGGTGGTGGGTAAGTGTGAGTTGGTGGTGGCAGGTGGTGGAGGCAGGTCGGATATATTAGTAAGGTAAGCAGGGGGTAGAACTGAGTAGGTGGCGGCAAGGTCGGTTTGAAGATTGGTAGTGGCGGGTGGTGGCGGGTGGGTGGCATGGGATGGCGGGTTCTTGGTGGGTGGTGGTGGCGTGGGAGAGTGGCGAGGGGATATTAGGATGAGTAGTTCTTGGCGCAGTGAGAAGGCAGGTGGTCGAGAGATGGAGTTATGTGGCTCGAAGTGCGCGGTTGGAAATGGAGCTATGATGTGAAGAGTTCGAGATTAGGCCTGAGACTGTAGGTGGTGGTGATGGTGGTAGGTGGTGGTGGTGGGGTCGGATGGGTGGTGGTGGCGGAAAGACGATGGTGGAAAATGAGGTGGCGGGTGATGACTAGTGTGGGTGTTTTAAAAGAAAAAAAACTCAAAACGGTGAACATCATTTTTTGTGTTTTCATTTTCTGGCCAAATTTATAAACTGAGACCATTGATTTATAAATTAAAAATTTACCAAACAAGTTTTTATTTGAGTTTTTAAAATTTTTGTAAATATAAACAGAAAACTGAAAACGTAAGTGTTACCAAACGGCACCAATGTGTTTATTTAATTCTCAATTTATTAATATTGTCAAATAATCTCTATTTCAGTTTTTATCTACAATTGATAATTGAGGCAAAGTCATTTTTGTCGAACAACCCATCACGCTATTTGGTAGAGCTGTGGAAAAGTGCTTATAACTTATGCCTTAACAGCTTATAGCTTATAACTATGAACATAAGTTGATTTATGACTTATAAATTAAGCATTTTCTGCCCCACTCAAAGAATAAGCTGATTTCTGACTTACAAAAAGCTATAAGCTGCATTGTTAAGCTAAACCAAACACATCAAAATAACTTAAATTAAGCTGAAGTTGAAATAAACAGCTTTTAAGCTGCACCAAACAGGCACAAAGACTTCGAAGATTGAGAACTCGTTTGGAACTTGACTAAAAAAATGGATAGATTTCAAGCATTATTCATTGAATGATTCAATATGCAGGAAAGTTTTTCGTAGAGAATGGGACCAAAGCCTTTGCCTGTAATACGATTCTATTCTACGTAGGAGATGCATGACACTCTGATTGTGACTTAGAAGGAAAATAGTGAAATTCAAAGCTAAACAAAAGCTTTTCCAATTCTATATATATATATATATAGATATAATGGACTTGTTTGGTTTGTATCTCAAAATATAATTTGAGAAAAAATTTTAAAATTTTATTTGATTTAAATTTTTTTAATTTTTTTTTCCAAAATCAGTTTCTCTCCTATACATCAATCAATCAATTTTTCTCTATTCTCTCTTATTCTTAATCACTTTTTCTCTCAAACACATCCACTCAATTATAATATCAAATCATTCCAAATTCCCAAACTCTAAGACTATTTTCAAAATCAAAAATGTCGAAGGCTCCCTTTTTTTCCCACCCCTTTGACCCCCTCTCTCTCTCTCTCATTGGTTGGATTTTCTTTCTTTTTCTTTTTTGTTTCTCTTATCCTCCAATCACCACCTGTCACATGTATGTGAGGTGGTGATTGGAGTGGGGTGGTAATTGAAGGGGTCTCCATCACTCCTCTTTCAAAATTCACAACTAAACAAACTAATATCTTTATTGGAATGCACATTCTTATTAATTTCTAAAATTAATATCGATCAAAGAAAGCTTACTGACAAAATTTACTGTAATTACGATAGATGTCACTGGTGAGTACATCACCATCACCGTCGGGGAGGGTCAATGACATGTTTGGACTCAAAGCGGCCGCCGTCCGAATCAAAGCTCTTGCTCGTGCTAGTCCGTGCTCGAGTCCCCCGTTTTTCTCTCTCTGCAATTTCACATCAATTCATCAAAAATTGCTGTAACACACACAGAGCCGTATATATATTAAAATTATATATGCACGTACTTTTAAATTTCAATTAAAAATCATGAATACAAATCGGTGCATATAAAGGTGCACATGAGTGCATTTCTATATATGTATGTATTTGATTCTGAGAGCATGGTTTGAATTTGACTACAACAATGGCATGCCGCTTTATGTAGGTCTCTGCGTAACCTCAAACTGATCAGATACTGATACACACACACACAGATTGTAAAAAAAAAAAGCTTTCAGTTTCTCAATTGAGCCATTAATTACTCACTCTGCAATTTCACATCAGATTAACAAAAATAGATTTACATTAATTGAGTACCTCCATAAACGTACGTAATATCTGATGAATCCGAAGAGAGAGAGAGAGAGAGAGAGAGTGCATGCTTACAATGACAATCCGATTTCTAAATGAATTAGTAGTGGTGGATCGAGCTTGGAACTCATCGGAAGCGCTGGTAAGCTTGGTCTGCAACTCCACAATCAGAACTTTGAATTCGGATTTCGAACCAGTGAAGAACTTGAACGAACTGAAATTGCCTGAAACAAAAAATACCAAAGTGATTGAGAGAACAAAAAATGATGCAATCACGCGAGCAGAGACTCCATATCCATAAGTCGCCTCCTTCATCTCAAAAAATCCTCTCTCTCTCTAGTTTCTCTCTCTAAAAGAGTTGATAGAGAGATAGAAAGACGGGGGATAGATTAGTGCGTCTCTCTCTCTCTGATTATTGAAATTTATGGCGGAGAAAAGGCTGGGAAGCTTCTATTTACACATACCAAATCCCCTCTTTGCACATTCTTCTCACTACACACATCAAAAAAATTAATTCTTAATTCTTTTACTCACTGCACACACATTTAATTCCACATCTACCCCCTCTCTCTCACACACACACCAGATCGTCAAACCCAACTCTCCCGACGGTACACACCCATTGAAGCTGCATCTCTCGCATTGCTCTCCCAACGGTGGAAATAAATCCATTAAAGTTGCGCTGCATTTCTCACATTGCTCTCCCAACGGTGCAAATAGCTCCCTGCCTCACACAGTTGGGGTAACTTTTTTCACCAATCTTTAATTTTTTTCATTTGCCAAATAGCTCCCAACGGCTAGCACACCCCATGTTCTGTTGAAATTAATGATTATTTTTTCATTTGTAATGTAGAGTTTTGTATTAAACCATTTTCAAAATGAACAAGTCATTCGGAACTAGTTTTCCGAAAGATAACAATTTGTTCGGACGTAGAAATTCGAAAATATTCATTAATTTCAACAGTAGATTTTCGAAAATTTTTCATTGTTTCGATAGTCAACTTCCGAAAATTTTGAATTTGGACAACACTCAACTTTCGAAAATTAAGTTTGTGTTTCAGTTTTCAACTTCCAAACAGAATATGTAGTTCAGTTGTGAACTTCCGAACAGTTTTTTTTTTTTTTTTTCCTTCTTTTATATATTATTGTTTGAAGGGAGCTTCTACTTCCACATCCCCATTTTTTGTGGTCTTTACACAAATTTAATAAAAACTATTTTTATTATAATTTTATTTTCAAGTGAAATTACTATTATAGACATTAAATAAACACATTCGGAAGTTGAATGTCAAAAAAATAAAATAAAAAAATCTAAACTCTACTTCTGAACAAGTTGTTTATTTTCGAAATGCTACTTCCGAACCAATTATTTATTGAAAAAGATGTGTAAAGAGAGGAATGAGTGTGTACAAATAGAAGCTCTCTTGTTTCAATTGTATAGTCATTAAACATATTATTTTTTGCAGATAATATGGATTCTGAATGTCAACGTGTCCCACCTACTGCTTCAAATAGACGACGTCGTGAATTGGATGTAGACCATGAACGAGGACGAGGGCGTGGGCGAGGATGAGGTCAAGGTCGTGGTCGAGGTCGTGATCCCATTTCGGTAGAATATGATATCCCCAGTGCCAGTCAAAGTCGGAGCCAAAGCCAAAGCTAAAGACGAGTTCAAGGTTATGATATGCCTGACATTGCTGTGGAGGATGCCTCTTTACTTGATTCTCCTCCTTTCCAGGAAGAGGACCTTACTCATGTTTTCACAGGTGGACCGACTGATCCATCAATACTGCGGAGTTTCAATAGTCATGTCGTTGCAACTGTTTGGCACGGGGAGGTAAACATTCCTGAGTAAAAGTGAAATTCATTTGTATATGAAGTTTTTTTTTTCTTCTGTGTGTGTTGCATGGTAGTTTCTAATGAGATATTATTTGTGTTATAGGAACGAGGGCCCCTAAAGTGTCAAAATCACTCTTCGAAGATCCTTGCATGGCCATGGTGGTCAGTAGACAACAACACTAGAATCAAAGCCATTATTGAGCAATCTGGGCTATCACAGTTAGCTCGTTACACTTATCGGTTCGTCAACAAGCTTCTAATCTCCAGTTTTGTTGAGAGATGGCAACCTGAGATGAACACATTTCGCATGACAGTTGGTGAGATGACCTTGACCCTGGATGATGTTGGCACTATTCTTGGCCTTCCCATTATAGGCAAATCAGTTAGCGTACCAGACGTGACAGATCATCATGAAGTTACACTACTGGTTTATGGTTTGGGGATTACTGAATGTGCAACACATGAAGAGGTTTCTACTGCTGGTGGCAATTCAGTTAGGCTTGAGTGGTTGTGAAGTCAGTTTGCTGGTGTCACAGATTCAGACCCCGAGGAGGCTATACAGTGCGCTGCTAGAGCTTATTTGTTGTTTCTGTTGGGATATACACTCTTCAGTGACAAGAGTGGCGGCAGGGTTCCTGTTGTTTACCTTGGCTTATTGATGGATTTGGGATCCATTCATACTTACGCTTGGGGTGCTGCTGCATTGGCATTTTTATACAAACAGTTGGGGTATGCTAGCCGGTCCGGGGTTAAGCAGATGGGTGGTTATATGACTCTTTTGGAGGCGTGGATTTATGAGCACTTCCGAGCATTCCGATCTCACTAGAACATGGGCTACAATGAAGACATGCCGCACGTGTACCATTAGGCATCTAGGAGAGATGCGGGTTCCTCCATTGATCATTTGAAATCTTTTCGAGCTGAGCTTGACAGTTTGGTAGCTACTAATGTAAGTTTACTCGTCCTGAGATAATTTTAACACTTTCCATTTATCTTACCCTTTATATACTTTAATTCAAAAACACTTTACATTTACAAGTTATTTGGGATCTATACCACAGCTGCAGAGACTGGCATCCATGCAATCCGATTACGTTCCACCATGGATGCTTAAAGTGCTTAGACGTTGTCGAACCCTATCATCCAGATAGAGTTCTGAGGCAGTTTGGCAGGGTTCAAACCATCCCAGATGCACCTCTAGCTCCCAGTCGTGGTGCTCGAGGCAACATATCTGCACGATATACAGTCATGCATAGATACTTGGATAGGATCTGGGAGGCTTGGGATAACCACGTGTTATCTGAGCAACGGAGGAGCACACCAGTTCGTCAGCCTTGGGAATGTGTACTAGGTTACATGGATTGGTATAAGAATATCACGCACCTATATGTTGAGCACACTGATGAACCGTGTGTCCATGACCATCAGGATTTCAGCCAGCATGCCGATGTAATGTATCATCCTCTTTTATGCATTTGTAACTTACTTTTTATTTTCTAATATGTTCCCTAAAATGTGATATTCTTTTCAAATGCAACGTATTGCACATGCACTGCAGATTTCACATCTTATTATTGACGCTGGTTATGAGGAGGGGATTCGACATCCTCATCGACTTTACCAGGCTATCGAGAGTATGACGCATGTCCTTCAAGGTCAGCACATTGACGAAGCTGGACCTAGTTATACTGGAGGTCGCTTTCCATTTTCGACATTGACATACAGTCGTAGGCCTAGGTGTAGGCATACAGCTGATTCGTGACATGTTATTTGTTAGTTGATGAATTTTTTGTGGTGTTTTTGGTAAGATGATATTGTTGTAATGGTAACAGTGGTTAATATTTTCTTATTAGAATGAAATGGCAACAATGGTTGATACCATTGAAAATGACATTTTATTATTAGAATGGAATGGTAACAATGGTCGTTGATTTTGTAAATGATATTTTCTTATTACAATGGAACGGTAACAATGGTCAATAACATTCAATCCATGCCACATAACACATCAACATAAAAAATACATCAATTAATTTCTTCCATAATTCTAACATTGTCAAATGCATACATGTGTCATGTGACATTAACAACATCAAATGTCTCTCGAGTAGCTACATTATCATAAATAATGTCCTTGAAATGTTGAATGCAACGCACATATGCATCATCCCAGTTGACAGTGCAAGGGTGACGGTATTTTCGCCAATTAGTGGCTATAGGAGGAACTCGATGGCCTGGCTGCAACAAAACCTGCACCAAATATCAATTGAGTTAGTGGTCATATCTCATAACTTCTTGTACATGCACAAATTTATAAGTTTCTGTTATACCCAGACGAAATGATTTCCGTTGACAAACCCAATGGCAATCTCACGTCTATCAAGTTGAGGTACTGGCACTGTTTTAAGAGGTAAAAATGTGAGACATTGCTGTAATGACAAGTGGTATAACACAAGATTGTAGCACGACGCAACAAGATGCCCCATGTCTGGCATAGTCATCCAATGTGAGTATCCAGGACTATCTTCAAAGTATGACAATATGCTTGTCAATTCTTCAAACCTTTCGTAGGACCCATAAAGTGTAATGTATTCCTCTTTGTGTGTGTGCAGCTCACCCAACAGATCATGCCTAACCTGTGCCCAATCATCTTCTGTATGACCAATTGAAGCAGCTATAGCCTTAAAACCACAATTCCCATCTGCAGCTACATCCTTGACAAACTTAATATATGGTTTCAACCTAGAAGAGAAAGCATCAACATATGCACCAGGTTCTACTGTTCTAGTAATGTATACCTTCCCTTTTGCATTCTCCTTCTCCTTTCTCTTAACATGTCGTTTTTTCTTGGTTTCCAGAGTAGAAGCTAATGTAGTGATTTGCGTGTCCCTAGGTGAGAATGAATCATGTCCAGATTGCACCAACTCAAATGCACACGGGTCACGACGGGTAGAAACATTGATCTTTGTAGACACCCCATTTTTGACCGACCTTAAGACTCAGACCTCACCAACTGAGCGCTCGATGATGTTGCATATTGTGCTCGTTCTGAGGTTTCAGAGTCTCGGCTGCGAGCCTTGCCTCCGGACTTCGGGGCTCTTTCGTGCTTTGCCTCGGTTTGCGAACCAGGTCCTGTTTTCTTTGTTTTCTCTTCCCAAAGGGAGGGAGAGGTCTCGTAGACCACCTCTCAGTGGCCATAGGCTACGTTTCGTGGTCATAGGCCATTTTTCCCGTTTGGAGCCCAGTTTCCGGTTTTCGGAGCCGTCGGTCGTGCGCCTCGGTTCGGGACCGCTTAACTACCTCCGTTTGCTTCGGTTTTTGGCACACACCTTGTTTCCTCCCTTTAGAGAAACACTGTGGCCCGAGAGGCCACCTTCGTGGTCATACGCCACTTCCGGTGCCTAACAGCCTGTTTTCGGGGCCTCGAATTGCGCGTTTTGGCCCCCGAACCTTCGTTTTGCATCCGTCTTGGTCTAGTTTTGGTAGAGACCCTATTTTCATTGTTAGGGAGGTGGTAGGATGGTGGGAGGCCACCTTTTCCCTTGAAAAACCAGTTTTCTCATTTTCTCTCTCCAAAAGCCGGTTTTTCTGACAGAAAGCTGGTTTTTCTCACTTCCAATTCAAAGTAAAACTTGAGCCTTCTGCTCACGTAAAACTGCTCTTTCTGGCATCAAAGTAATAGTAGCTGAGGCCACCAATATGGGTAGGCCGGCCTGAAATTCATCTTGACCTTTTTGAACCTTGCTTAAAAGCTAACTTTTCTCTCTCTTGGGTCACTTTTTCTGGTTTTTCACTACACAGCTGTGTTGCACTCATCTGGGAGGCCACCTTTTTGGGGTGGCCAGCCAGAAATTTTTGTTGACCTTTTTGACCCCTGGTCGGCCGACCAGGGGGAGTGGCCAGCCGGCCACTTGAATTGGCCGTCCTGCTTCCTGCTTTTTGCTCTCTTTGAGTGTAATCCAACTGTGCCAGTTGGAGGCCATTTGGTGCATCCTTCATACACGTGTATGGAGGATACTTAGGGTCCCTTTGGGATATTTTGAAGCCTCTCCTCTATAAAGGAGAGGCTTGGCTTCATATCTGAGGGTTGAACAATTTTGGTGAAGGTATATACCCTCCATCCTCCATATTCACTCTTCCAAGCTCCAAAACCCTATTTTTCTTGACCTTTTTGCACTACAACCCTTAGCACCACACCTCCATCATCCATTCCAGCACTTTGGGACTGACTTGCAAGGGTTGAAGGGTCACTAACTTGGTCCAAAAGCTCCAGCTTGGCTGCTCTTCAAGGGTAAGTGCGTATTTCCCTTAAACTTGCATTTTTTTGCTCCATTGATTAGCCTTACTTGCAAGTATTTTTGGACTTTTTCATAAACTATAAAGTGTCATATTTTGAGCTCCTCTTGAATATTGATTAAGGACACTTTTCTGTTTGAGGCCTCCTACACCCTTGTGTGTTTTACCCCTCTTTGTAGGCCTATTTTGCTTCATTTCTTAGCCCTATTTGAAAGCATTTCTGGGCTTCGACCTAAACTGTGAAGTATCTTATTTTGAGCCCCTCTTCAAATTTTTTTAAGGGCACTTTGCTTTTTGAGGTTATCTACTTCCTTGTTTGCCCAATCTCTATTTTAGGGCTATTTTCGCATCCTATTTTAGCCTTACTTGTGAACATTTTCGAGATTTGTTATAAACTGGAAAAAGTCTTGTTTTGACCTCCTCTTTAAGTTTGTTTAGGTCACTTTTTTGTTTGGAGTCATCTCCTTCCTTGCATGCTTCATTTCCACATGCTTTGAGCCATGCATTTGAATATTTGCATTGGCCTTGTTTTGGCCTCTTAGCCACTGAAATACAGTGGATTTTCAGGGACTTTGATGAAGTTTTGAGTTTTGAGCTTTGAAATCATAGAGGGTGACCCTCTCACCCCTCATTCTCTTTACTAGCATGATTGGCCTTCCAAAGGGACTCTATTTGTCATGCATTGAAGTCATGTTTTAGGCCTCATTTTGTGGGTTTTAAGGTCTACTTAAGCTTATCAAGAGCCCATTTTGCCATATTTTATGTCCCTTATGCATGTGTAGAGTAATCCCATTCAAGGCCTTTCAAAGAGGCCTTTCTTTGCATGATTCCTAGACCCATTTCAGGGCCAATTTGGTGAGTTTTAGGGCTGTCATAATCCATTTCCAGAGGTGGTTTCGTTATGTTACATGTCTATCTTGTATGTGCTTAACAACCCCTTGCATGGCCCTCCAAAGAAGCCTCTCATCTTTACATGCACGGGCTGCATTTCAGTGATTATTTGGGCATATTTTGGCATGTTTTATTCACTATTTTTGGCTGGTTTGGTGAGTTCTCATATGCTTCATATACATGTCATGTAAACTATGCTTGCTAGCCAATGTTGCATGCTATTTTAGTCCATCATGTTAGCATCTTTTGGCCATGCTTTAAACTAGAAATGTACATGTTTTGGGACTGCCTTGGTTCTGTCTTTAGACTTCATGATCAAATAATGCTTACTTTGTATACTTGTGGTTCAATACATGTGCCTAGTTTTGAGTTTCGGGGTTTATTTCTTGCATTGTGCGCCATGTTTGCATGTTTCGGGACCATTTTGTATCATGTTTCAGTGCTGGAAATTACATGTTTGTATGCCATCTTTCATGCCTTGCCATGCCTTGTTAGAGTTGCATGTTGTGCCTTAGGTTCAGTCCTCGGTTTGCGTGCATGTGTGCACGCATTTCGGTTGTCTCATTTTCATCTAATGGCTACTGATGTGAGTGCGGCTGAGGTCCACTCGTGTTGGTGTAAGTCCATTATGCATTGTGTATGCCATTTCATAGCATTGCGTATGCTAGGTTGTATGTTAGAGCATTGTGTATGTCATGTTGCATCGTGCATTGTGTATGCCATTTCATAGCATTGCGTATGCTAGATTGTATGTTAGTCGCATTGTGTATGCCATCTCATTTACATTGTGTTTGGGGTAGAAGTTAGCCCAAACACGGGAAACGAGGCGCGTTTCGTACTCAAAGTGACGAAACGTGTCTCAATTCCCAATTGCCGACACTTCGGATTACCCATGATGGAGTTTAGGTCTTATTGTGTTCTCATGTGCATTCATTTCATATTGAGTCGTGCAATTCGACTCCTCGGCTATCATGCATCGATATGCGTGATTAGTGGCACGAGGATCGATGACTACACTCCTTGAAGAGTAGTCATGCATACATATGTGAAAATACTTTGCCATGTCCTTTTGTTGCTATCTGTTGCAGCAAATCAGAAATCAGCAGCCTTCTGGAGCTTTACACAATATTCCGAGAACAATTTCAAACAGAGGCAAATCGGGGCATCACAATGGATTTCCGCGCAAGGCAACTCAAGCATGTATCATTCATCATTCGGAACAGAGCTGAGGCGGTCCATGGATTTGCGTGCTAATTTACCTGTTTTTCTAGATTAATTTGTTAATTAATTAAGATTTTCTATTTATTCGGACTGTACTATTTATCCGGATTGTATATTATTTATTCGGACCCTCCGAGCGAGGGCACAACTGTAATAAGTGTTCGTGCGTGTGATGTATGTCTTCCAACCCCACATCTTTCTCCCTTTTATTTACCAGCTTATGATGGTTAGTTTAGGGCATGTTTCAATTAGCATACAGTATGATAACATGTTTGCTTTCATTCATCTGTCTTGCATGCACCGGGCTCGGCGCATCATACTAACTGCATTGTATTTCAATTCCAAGTTGAATACTTGTTAGCTGTAGCATTTCACATGTCATTTTAGAATAGCCGAGCCTATTGTAATTGTATTTTTGGATGTGTTGCATTAGGTATTTCAGCATAGTTAGGATCACGCATGAATCTCTAACATAGCTTCTGTTTTGGCTTGGAGTACTCGGTAAGTGTTTATGCTTTAGCATCCTTGCATGTGTTTGAGTGACTGCCATGATAGCATGCTTACCATGAGGCTATGTTCTTATGTGATATAACAGCCTGAATGCCTGTGGGTGAAGGTTGGATTATCTGAATTGGAACAATTCATCAATTGTGAGTTTTAAGCCCACTAGATAGTGGCAAAATCATATTTTCTAAGCCCACTCGAGGGTGGCAAAATCTGCATTTTAAGCCTACTTGCGAGTAGCAAACCATTTTAAAAAACAAACATGAAATGTTTTGTTCCAATTCAGGCGATCCAGTCTATACTTGTATGTTGTACGCATCAAATAGTAAATCTAGGCTAATAACCGGAATAAGAATGCATAATGTTTTCAAAACTAGATATCATGGTTAGTAGAGGCCGATCTTTGATCGGGCGAGCGGGGGTGCTCCACGAAGTGACCTTCCCCAACGTACCCAGTTCCCGAGCCGAGGCAACTTTGGTGATGACGGATACGTGGCCTTAGGCAACGAGTCAGGGTTTCCTAAATTTTTCAAAATAAAATATTTAGGTGGCGACTCTGTATCTGGCAAAGCAGTCCATGTTTGGCACTTCTTTCAAAAAATCTGTTTTCAAAAAAGATTTGCCGGATTTGGACTCTTTGATGATTCATCGGTCTTGCATTGCACTCTGCGAGATTAGATACAGGACCGTAACACAAATTGAGTTCGAACTGTAGTGAGGCCCGAGGGCGCGCCTACAATCTTCTTATGATCCCGAGGACGTGTTTTGGGCTTCACCTTTGGCTCAACAAGAAAAGTTCTTCCTGGATATACAATCTCTTTCAATTTCTTCAAAAGCTCCAACTGCATGGTTCTATCACTTTCATTAAACTTGTTCACAAATAACTCTACTTCTGCATGACAACTCACCTCTGTTTCCTCTTTTTTCTTGCATATGGAGATATGAAGTTGCCTCCACTGTGAGTGAATGGTAGCAAGTGGTATAGGACAATCTTGTCTGATGTAGTCAGCAATCTTATGGGCACAAGGTAAACCATGAGTGTAGCGAAGGACGCATCCACAAGCTTCAACATCAATACCAATGGAATTGGCTCTCTTGCTCTCTACATGCAAATACTCCAATGCAGAGATAGACACATTACCCTGTAGCTCCCTGAACTGAGAAGGTTTAAATTGATATTGCACAACAGTTAGACTTTTCTCAAATGAAGCCTTGATATCAGTGTGTTGCAACTCAAGCAGACTGTGTATTTTCTCAAATGATACCTAAAATGAGACTTGACATGAACCCAATTGTCTTTTAAGTTTTGCATGTGCACTCTCAGCCCTGTTCAATTCAATGTAAGTCAAATTAAAATCAAGTACATGGCAGTTATTAATAACATATTCAACAAAAGTAATGTTACCGGTTCGTTGTAACATTGCCACAATGCATACACGTGTCTGTCCATGCCGCCACAAATTTCTCCTTGTAAGGAACCAACCAAGTATCCATGACATATTTGACTGCATCAGGATAACTACTGAATTCCTTAAGTAATGATTTAAGACGCTCCTCGTATTGAATTTCAGAAGATGAATACACTACAGAGTTCCACTCATGGTTGAACTTCTCCCATTTTTGCTGTGTCTCAAACATTTTCTTGCATTTGGTCAACACATTCTTACTGATATGCCAACGACATAATAAATGTCTGCCACTAGGGAATATCTTATGTATGGCATTCATCAAGGCTAGCTCTCTGTCAGTAACAATAATTGTTGGCACAACAAAACCATCCATGACATCACACAATGTAGCTAACACCCACGCATAGTTATCGATCTTCTTATACTATAAGTATGCGAAAGCTACAGAGAAAGTCATTTCAGTTGATATCATTCCCACAATTTCAAGAAGAGGAAGACGATATCTGTTGGTTTTATATGTGCAATCCATAATTAATATACGTGGAAAAGACCGAAATAAGTCCAAACTGGTAGGATGTGCCCAAAACAAGTCTGTCACAGTCATCGTGGACTCTTCAAACCGATGGCGCTCAATGTAATTATACTTGGCCAATTCACCCAATAAGTGTTGTATCTGTGATCTTCCAGCTCTCTGTACCACCCTGTTTCGATAGCGTACATTGTAAATGGTTTTAAGTGTGCTTATATTGAGGGCATCTCGCTGTTTCAAGGTTACTAGGATTTCTTTTGGCCGAACCATGCTCTTTGACATATCCATTAACAATTCTTTCTTATCCTTTGATAGCCTCCTCGCATATGAATGTCCCTCAAGATGCTCCGCAGGTGGATGGTTATGCAATCCGCATACTACGGTCAATGCCCATTCATCATGTGTGATAAACCTGTGAGCCCTTATATCAAAAGGACAACCACACTTCTTCGTACCGGTTATTCTTGATGTATTGTTGCCATCATGTTTTAACTTTTTTGTCGCTCTATATTGGCCACTCCTCTCACAAGCAAGATACATCCTGGGTCTTTTTTTCCCTCCACCATAGTCTGATGTTTTGATTACAATGACCAAACCATTTCTCTTTCCAACTTCACGTACCCAGTTGAGCAATTCATCTTTACTTTTGAATGCCTACAAAGTCAAATAAATATTATCAAACATTTACATTTGTTGAGTAATTCGAAACATAATCATTATAATTTCGTAGAGTGAACCTGTTCAGTTGTGAATTGAGTAGTGTAATCCAACACAAAATCCGTGCAAACTTGACTTCTTTGAGTTGACACATATTCCTACATGTTTTGTATAACATTACAAATTTTTAATGGCATTATAAAGAAATTAAATACTTTTTTCGAACAATAACTTCCGAAATTAAATACTTTTTTCAGACAACAACTTCCGAAATTAAATACTTATTTCGGTAGTAGATTTCCAAACAAAATAATATTATTCGACTTTGGTTATCCGAACGACGCTGGAAAAAAGAAGAAGAAGAGAAACTCACATTTCCTTCGCTATGTTTCTCATGAACATTTATTTGCTGATTTTCAGAAGACAAATCCTCCATAACAATGATGAATGAGGAAGGTTGATGCTTTCCCTTCTAGCTTAATGTATGATGAATGAGTGTATTGAGAAGTTACGAACTTGGAGCTTAATGGAAAAAGCTACGAACTTGGAAGAAGCTACGAATGAGTGAATGAGTGCTTTCACTTCTAGCTCAATGGAAGAAGCTGAACTTGGAGCTTCAACGTGAAGTCTGGATGGATGTGTGCATTGAGACGTTTTGAATTAGGTAGATGTCTAATTACACTTAGGGATAAAATTGTAATTAAAATAAATATCATTAAGTGTGTGTATAGAAAGGATTTGGTGTGTGTAGATAAAAGCTCCCAAAAGGTTGCGAGCCTTAAACTACGAAACAAGGTTAAATTACGAAATTGGCCCTATGAATAGATTTACATAAATGAAAACCGTGTGTAACAATTTGCCAAATGACTCTCTTTTTTTTTTTTTCTTTTTTTTTCTTTTAAAGTTGAAAATCAAAACCAAAAAAAAAAAAAAAAGATAAAACTTCCAATGACCAACTCTCAATAAAAAGTTAAAAACTCAACCAAAAAAAAAATAATTTATTATTATCAACTAAAAAAATAAAAAACAATTATCTACTCGCACCAAAAAAAAAATAAAAAATAAAAAAACATTTTATGAAATATGAGTTGAGTATGGGTTGGGTTTGAAGTAATGTGATAAAAAGATGATGTGACTTAAATATGATGATGTGACATAAATAAGATAGTGACTTTTTAACTTTTTAACTTTTTTACGTTATGACAAACAAGGTAACTTCTCAAGCATATTAATGTTTTTTTAGCTTTTAGAAAAGTCAAAAAGTTACTAAAAATTTAATACCAAAAAAATCTTTCCCATTTGGAGCTTCACAAATAAAAATTTTTTGACTTTTTATAAAATATGAATTGGGCTTGGGTTGAGTTTGTAGTGATGGCCCTGTTTGTAGAGCTGTGAAAAAGTGATTATCACTTATAGCTTAACGGCTTATAGCTTATAACTGTAAACATAAATTAATTTTTGATTTATAAATTAAGCTTCTCCTCCCCCACTCAAAGAATAAGTTGATTTTTGACTTACAAAAAGCTATAAGCTGTATTACTAAGCTGAATCAAACACATCAAAATAGTTTAAATTAAGCTAAAAGCTGTAATAAGCTGAAAATAAGCTCTATCAAACAGGGCCGATATGTTAGAGAGATGATGTGACTTAAATATGATGATGTGACATAAATAAGATAGTGACTTTTTAACTTTTTAACTTTTTTACGTTATGACAAACGAGGTAACTTCTCAAGCATATTAATGTTTTTTTAGCTTTTAGAAAAGTCAAAAAGTTACTAAAAATTTAATACCAAAAAAATCTTTCCCATATGGAGCTTCACAAATAAAAATATGTATAAATAATAAAAAAAGGAAAAAAAAAAAAAACTCAATATGTTAAAATAATTGATAAGGGAAAATTTAACTAATTATCTTTATTGGAATGCTAAATACAAAATGGATTTTGTACTTAATTTTTTGTTATCACATATTAAAAAACAAACTTTTTACTTGATTTTTTTATTACTCAATATAAAGAGGATATGAGTTGCAATAATGAATATATCATGCAAAAAAATAAAAATTGTGTAATATGACCCATTAATGACTATATGAGGAATCTATTATTTTGTATAAAAAGGATAATAAAATTATACCATTTTTTCCACCTCTTGATGACAAGATGATATTTTGAAAATATAAGATTATGGGTATGGTATTAAAGGAGAGAAGGTCTGTGTAATATCTAGCAGGAAATATGTGTCAATGATGAACCATCTCTCCATCCATCTCTTATCATTTTATTTTTTGATTAATTCGCGTAAAGAAAAAATAATAATAAAAGGGTTAATTATATTTTTAGCCTTTAAAGTATGAATTTTGTATCATTTTAGTTTTTAATGTTTAAACTATGTTGATTTGGTTTCTAATATATAGAAAGTGTTTCAATTTAGTCCTCCAATCTAACTTTGTTAATTTACGCTTGAGGAACTAAATTAAAATACATTAGGGACTAGATTAACATAATTTAAACTTTATAAATTAAATTAAAACACGGTTATATATTGTGAATCAAAATGACAAAAACTTATACTATAGTGACCAAAATTTTAGTTAATCCAAAATAAAAATGATGAATATATTATAATAGAAGAGCTTTGATCTCTCTTTAAATCTTAAGTAAATAAATATTGCTTTTAGAAAGGAAAAATATTTGAAATTCAAATCAGATCTTTTTCTTTTTTTTCCTTTTTTGGTTGATAATGAAAATGCTTTATATATGTTAACTTTTTTTATTGAACAACACATTAGAATATGTGAAAAATCACATTTGTTTTTAAAAAAAATGTTTGTAGTGGAACATTAGTTCAAATTAATAATCTGTAGAGTTAATGACATGTTATTATCTTTGCACTTTACTATTTAGTCCTTCATTCAATTGTAATGGTCAATTTCTTGCATATTAAGTTAAGTTATATTATTATTCTTCTATTTATCTGCTATTAATAAAATCAAAAATGCTAGAGACCCCCAAAGTTGGGGATCTCCATGACTCCCAAAATGATGTGGACCAATTATGTATTTTCATTTTTTTGTTTTGTTTTTTTTCTTTCCTTCTTGGACCAATCGTAGGTAAGTGGGGGTTGTGTTTTTTAGAGATCTGTAGCATTATTATAATAAAATTGAGCGTGTAAAATGTGACATTTTTTTAAGAACAATTAAAAAAAAAGAGACTACAGTAAAATTTTAGTGGAAGTGTAGATGACCTAAATAAATTTTGATAAAAGTGTAGGAAGGGGTGTTAGAGAAGTACGAAAAATGTCATACGCCATTCACATATCAATTCTCGTAGAATTATTAACGCCAGATATATGAAAGTATGACATTGAAAATGGATTCAAAGTATAAGTGATTAATTATCAAAATTAAAAATGAATGGAAATAATGTGATATTTTGAAAAAGTAAAAGGATACTAAAAGTTTGTTTGGGAATTGATTTTATCAATATATTTTTAATTTTTTAACTTTTTACGACAATATAAAAAGATGTGTAAAATAATAAAGAAAATTTATTGACTTTTTGGCAAAAATCTCATCTTTCCAAACTAGACAAAATGTAATTAATCCTAATTTCTATATAGGAAATTGTACCAACTGGAACCAACCTAAGACAATTGTAATCAATCCTAATTCTATCGTCGAGTTGTCCGGTTCCACCTAATTTGATCCTTTCAAAATTTTGGAGATGAATTCTCTCTAACTGGCCAGCTAATTAGAGAAAAACAATTGGGCTTGGTGAGCCCGATGAACTGAATTGTTTATTTTTTAAGATTTGTTGAGAGAGCGTTTAGGTTTGGTAGGTCTATTTTGAGGCCAATTTTGATTATTTGAACCGTTCACTTTTTAAGATTTATTAAGTAGAATATTTATATAAAAAATCAAAATGATTAGATATCAGTAGTTATATATTTGAATCATATTTATTTTAAAAAAATGAACAACAAATATAATTTCAAGAATACATTTTTTTGTAATATTAATTTGATTCAAGTATATAGGTACCGATGTCCGATCATCTTAATTTTTTGTATGAATATTCTACTCAACACGTTATAAAAAGTAAACAGTTTAGATCATCGAAATTGGTTCCAAATGGATCTACCAAATCCAAACGTTTTTTCAAGTTGAAATGACCAACTTAAGAGAAGCCAAATTTAAAAAATAAATATGACTAGACATAAGTAACTACTTATTTGGATTACATTTAAGATCTAATTATGTGATTAATGATATCTAATAATCTTAATAGTTTACTATAAAAATTAGGAAAAATTATTTATAAGTCCTATTAGGGAGACTTATGCTACATATGGTCCTACTAAAAAACTTATGTTCCCATAAGTCCTGTGGGAAGTTTGTTGACACATTTACCCTCAATATTAGTTGTTAATATCATAAATAATAATAAAACCATATATAAGAAATTGAATGTTACCATAGATCATATCTATATAAACGTAACGTAACGTGACACATACATAAACGCAACGTGACACCTACATAAACGTAATGTGACACCTATGATCTATGGTAACATGCAATTTCCTACACAGGAAATTAAATGTTACCATAGATCATATCTACATAAACGTAATGTAACATGACACCTACATAAACGTAACGTGACACCTATGATCTATGGCAACATTCAATTTCTTCCTATATAGGAAATTGAATGTTACCATAGATCATATCTACATAAACGTAACATAACGTGACACCTACATAAACGTAACGTGACACCTATGATCTATGGCAACATTTAATTTCCTATATAGAAAATTAAATGCTACCATAGATCATATTTATATGAAACGTAACGTGACACCAACATAAACCAGC